TAAATGCAGGCTTACCCATGAATAACCGCTGATACAATCCGCTATACCCTGCTGTACACAAGCGGAACTTGACAAGAATAATGAGTTTTCTCTTTGATTTCAATGTGTAATGATAGTTTGAAAAAAAAATGACTGGCAGTTTGCTATAAAAATACTTGAGAGGATATCCTTGACTGAGCCAAAGAGCTTAACACAAATTTAAACAGTATTTCCGCCCAAGAAAACAGTCATTAACCTCATCCTAATTGTAGCACAATTCACACTTTAGCTAAATACCTGGGCAACTGTTTTGTGTTGAGGTTGGAACCAAAGGAGAGAGAAAAAAGGAAGTCTGGAAGAGGAGGGGCTAGTAAAATACACATGCTTAAATCCTGCAAAGTTTGCAAAAACAATAGGCCTCTTCAATCATATTTATTAACTGAACAATTTAGGGTTTTGCTGTTAGTAGCTAAGCTATCTGCAGAAGATACCTACTTTTCACAGCACTTAAGTTATCTACTCTGATCTTAGAACTAATTCATGCCTGAATTTTGTATGATTCTTCCTTTTCCCACTTAATGCAAGATCTGAAATTTCAAATTTTGAATTGCTCTGTCCACTTGGCCTCCAATGACACTGGTCCTAGAATGAGAAGGCAATGAAAGAAAGCTATATTGTGCACAGAAACAGTTGTGGCCAGAGTGTTGGACAATGTGTGGGAATCAAGTGTCTCTCTCTTTCTCATGTTTCAGAATAGAAGAAGGGACATGGTTTGGAAATAACCCAATACAACCAATTTTATCCCACATGAGGAAGTTCCAGAAAAGTGTACAGATGAAGATATGATTTATTATCGAATAAGGAGCTCATAAACCCTTTTTAGTGGACAAAGGGTCAAAGAACAGACCATCAGAAAGATGACTGGCCAGGAAGATTGTCTTCCTTGTCACTAGCATGCTTCTGTGGCTGCATATCCCACTCCTCCGAAGGAAACTACCTACATGTTTGTCAAATGACATACAGATCTCATAAACAAGCAGAAAAAGAAGTCCTATCCCTATAAAAGCTTGCCATTTTATAAATTTCTCTAATGATTATTTAATTTTCTCAGGGTATTATTTCACCTGTCTGGGTGAGGAGGATGGCAATGTATCTGCAAAAGGACATCATTTATTAACCTTTATTATATAAACTGCTTTTAAGAAGCAACGCAATTTGAACACATTTTATAAAGTTGCATTTACATGTAAAAGAGTCCTATTATCCTTCAAATTTAAAAATGCTGCTATTTTTATTAGTTGTTTGGTACTGTTATCCATTTGTATTCATTCCTTTTTAAAAAAATAAAATAAAAACAAAGATACTACTATGTCCAAGAAAGTACCAGAAACTGTGGATATATAAAAAAATAAGATAGTCTTTCTCAAAGATGGGTTTCCCTTATAAACTATTTGAAGTATATTAAAATTTCAGTTATGCCCACCAAATCTTAATTAAACTATAACTCTGAACAAGATAACCAATAATTATAGTATATCAGATTAATGATCATTGCTTCATTATATTCCTACTTAATGAGTATGGTCAACTGAAATGGTCAAAACCAGAAAAAGTAATTCAGGCTCATGCTTCCTCTACTTTAATAGCAGAGGTAATGTGAATTTTTTTAAAAAAGTGTTTTTAAATATTCAGCTAAGGAGTATTCCAGGGAAATCAACAGCTATATCCTTCATCATGCCCTCCTGCCATAGCAGTGCTTTTTATCTGTTCTATGAAAAATAATTTCCATGTACCTTCTCAATATAAGTGGTATGGAAAGGGGTAAAATGAACTATTTCTTGTAATGTTTCTTAATTTTAACAGAACTATGAATCTGAGCGTGACATCAGCTAAAATCAGAAATATTCTTTAAGTCAAATAAAAACTGGCAGAGTCATTCATTGGTTTTAAAAGGCTGTTCTATACCAAACCAATGCAGTGTGCAAATATAGAACGTAATTAAAATACTATATATAAAATATTAACAGCAGCAGCTATTAAAATTACATTAAACTCCTTTGAGCTAGGCCAACATAATATGAGTGTGCTTTTTCTTTCTTTCTTTCTTACTCTCTCTCCTCTTTTCAATTTAGTAAAGGGCAGAATTTGGCTTAGTGAATGAATTTTGGTTTTTATATTGTTCGTTCCAATTCACTAATCTGAAATTTTAATCACATAAAAGTACTTTACCATGAAAACACCACCAAGCATAGTAACTTAACCTTTCCATGGGATGACAACAAAAATCATGGTTTTATTTTTTTAGATTGTGAATAAAACTTTCTTAGAGCAGATTCCTGTTCTTCTCATACAGAAATGAACTTTGTAAATTAAAGTAGATATTATCTGCTTTTGACCTTTTCCAGTGAAGATGTTAGTAGTGTAAGTAATAAACTATTGGTAGTTTGGATAAATTAAAGTACTTAAACAGAAAAAAAAATATATTTTTTATTTGTCTTGAAGACTAAGGTATTTATCTGTTAAACTGCATTGCCACTTTCTCCTTACAAGGTACTTCAGTAAAAAACTTAAATTATTTTTCTTTTATGTGTTATCAAATGAACAAGGGATGGTTTTATGCTTTATATTCTTTTATATTTACTAACAATTTGGTCTTAACCATATATTACTTTCATATACCTAATGAATGAAAATACCTAATGAATGAAATATATATAACTGATCTGACATTTGTATTTTTTTGCTTTTTTGAACTTTCAAAAGAAGCCCACTGATTCTAATATATTCTGTTTCTATTTTAAGCTGTTAGAAAACCTGACTTAAAATGATCTACAACTGAAAGTTCTTTTTAAAATTTTATTTTAGGTATATCTTAAGTTAAATTATATCATCCATAGCCTAATATTTGAAAGTGCTAGATTAGCTCTGCATCCATCCTCCTTTAAATTCTTGCTTAAAGGTTCTTAAGTAGCAAATCAGCTGTAACTCTGGCAGAGAGGTTGGAGGGAGCCAGGGAGAGACATTCCATTATTATATTTCTGTATCAAGAACTCTTTTCAGTTGGGCATAGCGGTACATGCCTGTAATGCCAGTGGCTCTGAAGGCTGAGACAGGAGGATCATGAGTTCAAAGCCAGCCTCAGCAAAAGCAAGGTGCTAAGCAACTCAGTGAGACCATGTCTCTAAATAAAATACAAAATAGGACTGGGGATGTGGCTCTGTGGTTGAATGCCCCTGAGTTTAATACCCGGTAGCAAACAAGCAAACAAACAAACAAAACCAAGAATTCTTTTCAGATTAATCAGAAAAAACAAAAAAGAATTCATAAATTTGCAAACTTCTCTAGAAAAGTGAGAAGACTGAGGGGGACTAACTTTCTAGAGAGTTGAATTAGAAATAGAGTTTCCAAGATACCTACAGAACAGAGCAATGGGTTCTGTCCTTCCTTCTGCTATCCCAATTCTCATATTTTCCATTTCTTAATTTTATTGCATGAGAAATATATTTCTAGAAGGGCAAAACCACAATCTTGTTCATCAATAAACATGGAGAAAAGCTTGGGTAATAGGGATACAGGAAACAGTTCGACTCTCAAGAAACCAAAGTCAATGAGTGGGAAGAGAGCTCAAGTCAGGAGGATGGAAGGAGAGGATGGCCCAGGACTTCTGCATGGCCCTTCTGAAACAGGACGGCCACCACAGATTATTGGTTCTGAAAGAAGCACCAGGTGACATCTGGTGTGTAGTTCCCAAATTCGATGAATCATCAGTTATCTGGAAAGCTTTTTAGAAATATCGAATCCACTCTGTCATTGTAGACTCCCCCATCACTGGGTTTGAATGGAGTCTTTTCCAACTTTGATTTACAGATGAAGAAACCCAGGCCCATTAAAAATGCCTTAGCCAAGCTTACATTGCTATTTAGAAGAAAATACAGAGTAGAGTTTTAATATTTAAGCAAATGAGAGAGTTGGGGAAAAGGGAGCAGGGCAGTATATAGATATAAATTCAGATACCTTCTATGATAATGTAATTTGATGTAAAAATTAGAAGAATGATAAGGGCACTGGGTGAAGAGCTTAAAAGAAATATTTTCTAGTTGTAAACTGCAAACAGATATTTTGTCTCTTTCTTTCTTCTCTACCTTTCTTCTTCTTTTCCTCCTTTTCTCCTTCCCATCTTTCCCCTTCTTTATCAGGATTACCACAAAGGTCCTTTCCTCTGCCTGGATGATCTCCCTTTAAAGTGCATACTCTTAAACTCTATTCTCCCTAAGCAACTACCTAATTTTTCAGTATAAATTATTGCAGGGAAATTTTCTCTGCTACTCTTTACCTTCTTAGAGAAATAAGAGGAAATGGAAGGAAGCCAGAGGAACAAATACATAGTGGGAGAATTTCAAAGGTCCAAAGGAAAGGTATTTGAAAGGCAGCAGAGCTCTGAACACTAGTAGATTAAAGCATTTTCAATATTATAGATCCTCTTAGGATAAAAGTGTGTTGTTCCAAAGTAAGGATTTTATGTGTGGATCACTCCAATATTTTGGTATTTCATGTTTGCCAGAACCTGTACCTCCAGATGTCCAATGACATGAGATGTAGTTGAGAATACAAGAACCCTGAAATTTGTCATTTGCCAAATTCAAGATTAGATTTCTTGCAAAAATCGGCAGTTGATTATCCAACAAATTTTCACTTACGAAACTATTCTAGAAGCCATTTAAGCATTTGGGTTTTGATGTGCAACTATGATGATTAATTAGTTCCTTATGATTTTTATATTATGTAAAACAGAAACAATAAGACCATTTCCTTTATGAGAGAGAGAGAGAGAGAGAGAGAGAGAGAGAGAGAGAGAGAGAGAGA